AAGTAATTAAACTTGCTTGAAAACCAAAGAAATTAAACTTGCTTGAAACCCAAAGAAATTAAACTTGCTTGAACCAGAAGAAATTAAAATTGCTTGAACAAGAAGAAATTTAACTTGCTTGAAACCCAAAGAAATTAAACTTGCTTGAAAACCAAAGAAATTAAACTTGCTTGAAACCTGAAGAAATTAAACTTGCTTGAACCAGAAGTAATTAAACTTGCTTGAACAAGAAGAAATTTAACTTGCTTGAAACCCAAAGAAATTAAACTTGCTTGAAAACCAAAGAAATTAAACTTGCTTGAAACCCAAAGAAATTAAACTTGCTTGAACCAGAAGTAATTAAACTTTCTTGAACAAGAAGAAATTTAACTTGCTTGAAACCTGAAGAAATTAAACTTGCTTGAAAACCAAAGAAATTAAACTTGCTTGAATGAAAAGTAATTAAACTTGCTTGAATGAAAAGAAATTAAACTTGCTTGAAAGAAAAGTAATTAAACTTGCTTGAACCAAAAGTAATTAAACTTGCTTGAATGTAAAGTAATTAAACTTGATTGAACCAAAAGAAATTAAAAGTTGCTTGAACGAAAAGTAATTAAACTTGCTTGAACAAATTATAATTAAACTTGCTGGAATGAAAATTTATTAAACTTACTTGAAGGAAAAGTAATTAAACTTGCTTGAACAAATTATAATTAAACTTGCTGGAATGAAAATTTATTAAACTTACTTGAAGGAAAAGTAATTAAACTTGAAGGAATGAAAAACGATTAGTCATACAATCTGACTAGACTCTATACTATTGTAGGTCACTTTTAATTTTTTGTATTTTAATAAATTAAAATCCTTAACTTTCAACTGGACATTACCAAGTTCAAAGCAGGACAAATCTAAATTACTAAAATTCAACAGAGCAAGGGTTGAATTATACAACTGACATGGGGTGTTATTTTTGTGTGTTAAAGTTATGAAGTAGCAATTGTATAATATAAAGAATATGAATTTACAACATTTTTGCAAATAAGAAAATTTTTGGTATCCAAGGTGAATTTAATTTACCTCACAGATTGAAATTAGATGTTTTTAATTCATTGTATATCAGTTGTCAAAACATGTGATTTATATAAGAACATATTGGTTATGTAAAGTCCCTACAGCACAGTTATATAATTATGTTAGCTATTCCAGCACTTGATATTGTATAATCTTTGTCAATCTTTCCCTTTTCTGATATACATGTATGATTATGATAAAGGCTATGAAATAAAATTATTTACATTGACTAATTGATGAATGATAGTAAATCAGTAGATACTATCCGGAACTAGGTAAATGTGGGTTTTTCTCAACAAACAAACTTCTACAGTTATGGCATCATGGTGTGCAACCGTTTACAATAGACAAATCAATCCGATGCACTAATTATCAATATATTTACCAAGGTGTAACTGTAAAGTTTGTTTGTACACAAGAATTAGATGGGAGAACCCAACATTAGCCGGGTTCCAGAGTATCTAAATTTATTGATTTCTGGTTTTTTTCTAATAATCTTTCACCATGCTGAATATCTAAAATGGACTTGTCCACCTTTCAGTCTAGACAAAACTATTTATCAGTGGGGGGGATGGGGGATTTCAAATTTGTACTGACTGAATTGTGAACACTGTGTACTTTGGACCGAACCGTGTGGACCATATTCTGGCTGATCTTGGTCAGCACTAGTCACATGGGTAGGATTAGTTGCCGCCATCAGGCTTAATGTTAGAGATATCATTTCATAGCCTTAATTTGAAACAATTTTATCCTATATTTTCTATTTGAATAGTAATGTATATAGATCGTAACTGTTTAAAGCTTAAATATGTTTGTTTTATTTAATCAATGTTGATAAATATTAAATAAATCTTAGGGGAAGCAAGGTTATTAAGGAAAATTAGACACACAATAACAAGATATATGTTAAATTGTTGTTATCAAAATACACAATAACAAGATATATGTTAAATTGTTGTTATCAGAATACACAATAACAAGATATATGTTAAATTGTTGTTATCAGAATACACAATAACAAGATATATGTTAAATTGTTGTTATCAGAATACACAATAACAAGATATATGTTAAATTGTTGTTATCAGAATACACAATAACAAGATTTATGTTAAATTGTTGTTATCAGAATACACAATAACAAGATATATGTTAAATTGTTGTTATCAGAATACACAATAACAAGATATATGTTAAATTGTTGTTATCAGAATGGAAATAACATCTTGTAAAAGGGTACTAAGTGTTCAAGTGAAATGAAAATAAGCTACAGCTTGAAGCAACCTTGCAAGAATAATCTGTGTTGAATAATATGCTCCCATTTGGGGGGGAAGGAGGTGCATATAGATTTTCTTGTGTCTGTCTATCTATGGTGCTGACAAAACAGAGAAATGTGGTGGCATCCATTTTCTCAGGACACATTTTGAGTTGGAAATGAAATAAGTGCTTGATAAAAGCTGGCAATGTTATTTAATGCTACTCTAATAGAATAAACATAAAATAATTGCTTAATTAAAGCTAGCAATGTTATTTAATGCTATTTGTATTGAATAAACATAAAAAAAATTGGGCTTAATTAAAAGTTTGGGCAATGTTATTTTGCTATTTTTAATTTTAAATAAACATAAAAAAATTTGGCTTTAATTAAAGCAAACAATGTTTTTTTAAAAATTGGCTTTTTGTTTAGTTTTTCCCATGAAAAAACAGCTAAATTTAAAAAACTGCAGGGGTTGTTGAAAATTTACAGGGGCCTTTGGGTATGCTGGTTACAAGATTTTTGGGTTGGCAGGTTTTTTCTTTTGTTGTTTTTTTAATTTTTCCCCTTTTATTTTTTTAAGTCAAAACCTGGGGTTTAAAAAGGCCCCCCCTCTATAAACAAAAAACTATAAAAAAGGTCCTATGAAAGTTTTTTGGAATTTTTTCCCCCCTTTTTTATGTAATTTTTTTTTTTTTTGAATTTTACCAAATAAAACTGTGGGTGTGGGGGTTTTGGCCCGGGGGGGACTGGGAGGGAGGATGAATTTGGCGGGTTTTAAATGGGTTGGATTTTTTTTTTGAAGAAGCTTTTTTGTTAGTAAACGGGTAACTAGTGGGTTCTAACTCTGGGCATCTGCTTGTTTTTGAAATGGAAGAAATGTCCAAAAGAAGATCATAAAGGCCCTTCCCTCTTTTTTTCTTTTAAAAGCTGTAAAAATCACCAATGATTTAAAATAAATTTTTTGACAAGATTTTTTAACCCGGGCCAAAATAAATATAATTTTTCCTTTTTGGGGCACGGGTTTTGGGTTATAATTTTCTGGCCCAAAATTTTAGCAACATTGATGGGAAAATTAAAATTCAAGGTAATTTTGTGTAAAAAATTTGTTTTGTTTCTTCGGAGTCGAGGGCTTTTGACCTACATTTTAAGTTTTCAAGGGTCATTGATATTTGAAAAAAATTTAAATTTTGATAAATTTTTTAAAAAACCTTTAAAATTGAAAAATGCGACTTTTTTTTTCTTTGTTCTTGTTTGTTTTATTTGTTCTGTTTCTAATTTGAAATAGCCAGTTTGTTTGAGCAGTTTTCTTTGCTTGAAAATAATTTCATGGGTTATTTTAAACTTTATATTTTATTAGTTAATTAAAAGCAGAATATGACACCTGCTATCCAATAGCACCAAGAAAAGGTTAATGTTAATGATAAATAAAAATCAACATTGTTTTGGGGTGGGGGGGAATATGGGGAGGTATATCTATGTTTCATTGTCAGTGTACATGTGTATTCAACTTTTAACGTGTGTGCTGTGAAGATGAAAATAGGCATTGTGGTGTAAGGGTTAGGGGACAGTTTGTAAGTTATATCATTTTATCAGACAATTGCTTACACAAAATCATTCAAATTCTTATCAATTTTCATAAATTTACTGCAATATTAAAGTTATATCTCTCAGTGGTAGGTTATTTGGGAAGATCCAATATGTCAGCCTGCATATACATGTACAGTATGCCTGACCTCATTCTATCACTGCCAAAAATCAGGATTTTAATGTAGGAAACATAATGTCCATTGCACAAAATTAGCAAGGTAGACGGGTCAACATCACCAAATTTTCAAACTTAGGAAATTATGAAATGGCATTTCAAGTGGATTTTTATTTACATGCTACCAAGATCTAGTCTTTGGGAAATTTACAGAATTATTTGCTTGCAGTCAAATGGTTAAATTAATCAGTAATCAATAACAGAATTGTAAACTACAGATTTTTTCTTTTACATGTACCATAAAATAATTATTCAGATTTTTTTCTCCCAATGAATGTGATGGATCATTACTGCATTGAGTTTTGTCTTTTTAAAGATCATTGTTTTATTCTGTATTATGTAGGTTAATCCTGCTTTATTTTGCATGTGTAATCAAAGATTAATATTAAGTTGTGAATTTTATGATTAAAAAAAAAAAGATACGTAAGATTTTGATTTAGTTGTGCATGTACAAGTTCTTTTAAAAAATAGCTGGATTTCAAGCATTATGTATACCAACAATTAAAGAGCTAGTCAGTTCATCTTCCCTGTCAGATATTTATTTTTGTCATGTCTAGTCTTCTCACAGTGGATAAACAGAAGCACTGGATCATATCTTATACAATACAGTGTGCACTATGTTTTGTGAATACAAGCACCTGCTTCTTTCAGTCATTGTACCTTTCTTTTGATCCTTTATATTTTAGCTTGTACCTTTCTTGGGTTAAACAGGAGGTAGACTTGCTTATTCACTTTGATTTTTTTTGGGGGGGGGGGAAGCAACAGTGTTACTTTCATTGAGATATAATTATATGAGGTGTAAACTTGTACATGAACTAATTAAATCATAATCTCTTACTGTTAATTGAAGGTGGTTTCAACCTTTGGTAAATAATTTTCTGTCTCTAGTTGATAATAATAGATGATAATCTGTTTGTTTTTATCTTTCAGGATATGGGAGAAATCCTTGCATTATTGCAAAGCAGTTCATACCAAGACCGAAAAGAAGGTGTTGTTAGTTTACAGAAATTATTACGACAAAATCGATTTTTGACGTAAGTCTAAATGGATTATATCAGGAACTCAGCAACTGTGGGTTTTTCCAAGCTTATCCAATCGTTTAATCAAACTTATACCATTAAAGCTTTTTGGTGCACTGCTGATCGCAAGAGTAGTCAACCTGTTGCGCTAATACTTTAGAAGTTGTATCTGTTTGTAACTCAGGATAAGTTGGGAAAACTAATATTCTTAATTCCAGGGTAAACCATGTGATAAAATGTATAAAAAAGTGTAAAAGTAGGAAAATTTGTTTCCTGCATTATAATATTGGGTTGTTGTGGATTTTACTTAACAGGACAGATTTGTTTTAATGTTTGATATTTTATCTCTCTTTTGGTATCTTTGCCCCTCAAGGTACTAAAGTGTATAAAATATTATATATATACATCTGTAAATAATAATATTTATGTTGAATTTTGTTAGAGAATTATTTCTTGACCTTTATTATTATAAAAATACATACCATACTCTTTTATTCACAGGCGAATAGAATTAAAGAAAGCCACAGAAATATTTACAAGAATGTTCCATGATCCACATAGCAAAGTAAGTACAAACATTTCATGTAAAAGGTTGTATCTAAAACGTCCATATTTAGAGCCAATATATGAGGCACGACGCGAGAAAACCGGCCTTAATGACATTTTTTTCGAAATTTAGTTTTTCACATATTATTGTAAGGAAGAATTTCTTTCTGAATATGACGGTGAAAACCGTTTTCAAAAAATCAAAGGGTTAGTTATGTTAGATATACCAATTTAACGAACGTCATATATTTGATCACTTTGTTTTGCAAATGACGTCGAAAAATTAAAAATTTTGACGGTTTAACGTTGTTAAATTGGAAAATTAAAACGGACAATAATATTTAAATCTTAAGTTCACTGCATCAGTATGTTTAAGCTGTAAAGAAGTTAGTAATTAAAAGTTATTTAAACTATAGACTTCACGCTTATTTCGATTTTAGCGTTGCTTAGCAACGGTTGTAACAACACGCCATAAGCGAGTCATACATGGCGCAAAAATAAATTGTTTTTTTCAAACCATTATAACACTATATACCATTTTAATGTGGACAAAAATATTCATAATCTTTAAGGGAATTTTTCATACTATATACTGCTTGAAAAACAAATATATATTGAAACGGGAAGGTACAGGTGTGTTGGTGGGTTTAAGTATGCCCCGGGTCACATAGATTGAAATGAGACAAATTTTTAGGTAAAATACCAAAAAGAAATAAATCAACAAAAGTATATAAGGTCTACGTTTAACGTTTAATACTTATGAAAAAAATACATAGTTAAATAAAAAAGTTCTCTATTTTTCTTTATAACAGTTTTCTTTATAACAGAAACAATGGCCGTATATTTTAACAACAAACAAGAACAGTTCTGGATATTTAAATCTGCACTTAGCTGTTATAAACAGTGGCACCTTAATCACTGATAATATGATTAACTGTCTTGACAGACGAACACACGCACACTTCGCGACACTGCTGACATTCCTATGCGTAATAACGCTTGGGACGGACACATGAACTGAACCCGAATCCGTGTTCTTTCAAGACTTGAATCAAATATTCCTCGCCTTCAGGTGTTATTTTGCCCATAACCACACACGGTTTGTTCGACTGGAACCGGAAATTTTCTATCAATAGAAAAATGATAAATATCAATATCCGTACGGAAAAATAACGCAAACTTATTTCCTTATATGCTTTAATAAAAAAAAAAAAACTACATTATTCGGAGCACATTCACAACTCGGTAAGTTAAAAGAACGGAAGAGCTTGGACAGTTTGTAGAGCATGACAGTAAACTTGGTCACATGACTGATTTTCATCAACTGTAAATGTGTGTCAAATATTTTTTTTTTTTGTAAAATAAGACTATCCGTACATATAAATCTAATTAAACCAGAAAAAAATGTTACAGAATTTCACTATTAAGTGTATTAGCTGGATATATGTTGCGAATATTTTGCTCCGAAACATTTTATGCTGATCACAAACAATATACATGTGGAGACATTCTATGTAACAACAATTTCTATTAATATGTGATTACAGAACCATTTCCTTATGTTTTTTTCTGTTGTTTTTTTTTTTTTTTAATGTTATTATTTGTTTGTTTGGGTTTTACGTCACATCGACACAGTATAGGTTATATCGCGACGTTCCAGCTTTACTGGTGGAGGAAGACCTCAGGTGCCCTTCCGTGCATTATTTCAGGCACGAACGGGCACCTGAGTAGAACCACCGACGTTCCGGAAGCTAGCTGGATAGCTTCCTCATATGAAAGAATCCAAAGTCCCTGTTGGGATTCGAACCCACAGCGGTTAGGGGCAAGTGGTTTGAAGTCAACGACCTTAACCAGTCGGCCACGGACGTTTAATTTTATTAAGTATTTTAACAGATAGAGCTTATTACTCTTTAAGGATCATTTATACAGTATCTACGTTGTCTTCATAATATAAAGTTAAACTAAATCGAAGAAGAAAATAAAACTTCTTGTAAACAATTAAAGAAACAATTAACCCTTAATTTTTCATGTTTTTAAGATATTTTCTGAGTCTGGAGTTCTGAGTTTCAACATTTGCATTTAAATAAGATAAACATATGTTACCTTAAACCAAAAATTGGTTTGAAAAATCCCTCTAGAACGGGTTTCCATTGTCGCCATGACAACTTGGGGTAACATATAGGCTGTTGGTTGTAGATGACATCTCTTTAACATGGGCCAGCTGTTGAAGTGTTTCTAAATTATGCCACCGGAATTTAATCTTTAGATGTGCGAACCCCGTATCAACTAAACACCGCGCATGTCCTTAAAAGAAATTTTTTTTTTTTGTAATATTTGAAAGCCTTAATTACCTGCTGCGATTTGAAGTGCTTTTTAACAATACTACAGTGTTCATGATACATATATTTTGTATTTTGTCTTAACCAACGCAACCAGCCCTAAAATATAACGAATGCTTGTTAAAATATAGTCCAATAAGTAATTAATTACACAATCTATACACAAATTAAGTCTTTTAACTTTAGAGAAAATGGTAGGACCAAGTTAAAAGACTGACATTTTAACTGTGTGCAGACTTGGAAAAATGATAGTAAAATCCCTAAAATGTTAAAGCACTGGTATTTATTTGCTTTCAAACTAAATATACTGGTGCAGCAGTACTGGTATTTGTACTAATACTATATGAGTTGACAAGTAGTGGTTGTAGTATGTTAGTAGTATATCCCTAGTACTGATATATATCTGATTGTATAAGATGGTAGTTTAGAGTATATATTAAACATCTTGTCCCTTATATCATTGTAAATATTTTGCTACAAAATAAAAAAAAATATCAAGATAAACGTAAGATGGACAAAATTTTCCTCTGAGTCACGTGTGGCAACACTACGCCTTATGCACTCATTATATAGATCACGTTCCAATAAAATTACAAAAAGAATATCCTATGTAAAACATAAATTTGAAGATTTTAAAACCACGATTTTTGTAATCACGGTCATAGGAATCATGATATCGTCCGAATAAAAATCACATGCATTCTTTTAAATTCTTTAGTGTATTGAATCTTATAAAAATACGCTTGGAAAAAATTCAAGCATGGCAGATATTTGTTTAATTTATTTATTAGTGTATTGCTACATTATTGTTCTTTTCCTATTATTACAATTTTTCCTATTATTACCTTTTTGTGCGAGAAGAACGTGGTCACACAGTGCTGTCGTTGCGCTAGTGTCACATTTTTCCACGTCTGAATAATCAAAGTCAGTATCTCTCGAAAAATCTGTTTTGTGAGTTGATAGGTGTTCTCCCAAAATAATCCGAGTAGAGGGATTTCAGATCTTATGAATGACAAAAAAATAATGAATAAAAAACGGATATAAAAATTTGGCATCAGCGAGGATACGAACTCGATTTGTTTGATTGTGAGGCCACAGCATTATCCACTGAGCTATTCTCTCAGCAATTCTTCAGTGTGCTAATTAATCAATAAAAAACAATATTGTATTAAATCTAAAAAAACTTTTTTTTCATTCCATGATGATGGACATATATTATTTTATTGCTTGCATATTCTAAATGAATTATAGAAACATATTCTAAATGAATTATGAAAAAGAGTATTAATGTAACTTGCGGCTGATTAGCAACCTAAATTTAGATTAGCCTATAAAATATGAAAGCAATTGGTAAACCCCTACAATACAGTAGACTTAGATCTAATTAAGATCAAAACAACGTAAATATATTCTATATAAAGGCACCGATGTACGTTGCCGATTAATTTATTCTTGTGTATTTCAAAGCATACTAGTCTTGGTGTACTGTGGATATACAGTACAGTACAGTACAGTACAGTACAGTACAGTAGTGAGTACAAAACTGTAAACGTCAGTGTTAAATTACCAACAGTAAATATTTATCAATTCGATGCTCTGATTAATAAACATGATATGTTTTTGTTGCTGTTTTTCATAAATTATACATTATAGACACTTACTTCTAACTATAAACTTTTCTGTGAATCCTAACGATAATACACTTAAAAACAATAACACACGATAAAAATCATTTCCGTGTTTACATGTGTATACGCAATAAGAGTGACGTCATTTAAATCGCTGTAGTGCACATTTATTGTAGTGTCATTAAGACCGGTTTTCTCGCGTCGTGCGTCATATATATATTTTTTTCTTAGCAATAAGTTTCCAGGATTTATACCATGTGATCTTTCAACATTTATGGGGGGAGTGGGAGAAGGGGTGGGGAATTGTTTTGGAGTGTGATCAGTTGAGGGTTTGTTTTGATGATCTTAACTGTAACAATGAGCCTTTCATGAACTTTTCAAGTCACTGTTTTAAAGTCTGTAACTGAAGATGAATATTTTTGTGTTAAATCATAGAAGTTAATGATAGACGTTGAACATTCAAAGAATGTTGAACTTTAACACATTATAAAGGGGGTAACTTGGGATATACAGTCTTTTTTGTGTCGCCTCTACGGAGTAGTGGCGACATATAGGGATCACTTCTCCGTCGTCTGTCTGTCCGTCTGTCTGTCTGTCTGTCCGTCTGTCTGTCCGTCCGTCCGTCACAAAACTTGTCCGGACTACTCCTCATAAACTACTGGTGCAATTTCATCCAAACTTTACAGGAATGATCAGTACCAAGTCTAGTTGTGCATATTGTCAGGATTTTCCGGTTCAATGATTTTTGTCAGAGTTATGGCCCTTTAATATTTTTTAATTTTAAAGTTTGTCCGGACTACTTCTCTTATACCACTAATGCAATTTCAATGAAACTTTACAGGATTGATCTGTAGCTCAAGTCCTTGCGCATATTGCACGGGTTTTCCGGTTGAATGATTTTTGGCCGAGTTATGGCCCTTTGATAAAAAGGTGTTTTTTTCTGTGTGTTGCCAGATACACAAAAGCTTGTCCGGACTACTCCTCATAAACTACTGGTGCAATTTCATCCAAACTTTACAGGAATGATCAGTACCAAGTCTAGTTGTGCATATTGTCAGCATTTTCCGGTTCAATGATTTTTGTTTGAGTTATGGCCCTTTAATAATTTTTATTTTTAAAGTTTGTCCAGACTACTTCTCTTATACCACTTATGCAATTTCAATGAAACTTTACAGGATTGATCTGTAGCTGAAGTCCTTGCGCATATTGCACGGGTTTTCCGGTTGAATGATTTTTGGCTGAGTTATGGCCCTTTGATAAAAAGGTGTTTTTTTCTGTGTGTTGCCAGATACGCAAAAGCTTGTCCGGACTACTCCTTATAAACTACTGGTGCAATTTTATCCAAACTTTACAGGGATGATCAGTACAAAGTTGTTAGTCTAGTTGTGCACTGTCCGTCTGTCTGTCTGTCTGTCACAAAATTTGTCCCAACATGAAATTGGCCATCATGAGGCGACACATGTGATTACTGATCGCTCTTGTATTTGTATGTTGTCTTATTATATGTGTAATGTATTCCTTTTATCTCCAGGTTTTCAGCTTATTTCTAGAGATGTTGATAGATCTGATACAGTTACACAGTAGAGATATGACAGATTGGCTGTATGTATTGTTGTCACGACTACTAAATAAACTTGGTGCCGACATTCTAGGTTCATTACAAGCCAAAGTTCAACGAACACTAGATGCCACCAGGTTTGTCTTGTCAACTTCCTCTTTTACTGTCCAGTAAATTTTTGTAAAATTTGGCATATCACACTGGAAGAATGGTTCCAAAATATTTTTTTATTTAAAGTTTCTAGTTGCAAGTCATTGTCATTTATTTTTCCTACCTGCTGAAAAGGATTTCAAAACACCTTTCTTGGCAATAAAATAACTTGATTGTTTTTTTGTTTTTTTTTTCATAAAAGCAATGTTGGTGGTATGAATTTTTCAGGTAACTCCTTGAAACTAATATTCAGCAAAAATTTGACAAAAACTTTAGATTTTCCTACTGATGCTTTGTCTTCTTTGTAATTTGAATAAATGAACAATTGACAGGTCCAAAATCTTATAAAATTGTTCAGAATCGTTTTTAAATGCAACATGATATAGGAACAGGGTGTTTATGTATTGAGTAAACTTACATGAATTCATTCCCTCCCTGCTTTTGCATTGACAGTGCCAAGGAGGGTAAAACTCTTTCATGTGAGAATGGAAGCTGTCCATTTAGTTTCCAGAAGGTTGATGTTTTGTGACAAAGATGCCAGCAGGGGCATTATATAAAATAATTTCACTTTGTTGTAATAGAAGCTTGCTTATCATAATATTGTGATATCATTTTGTGTTTCAGGGATAATTTTCCGAGTGATCTACAGTTTAATATATTAACACGGTTTATGATTGACCAGACGCAGTCTCCTAGTATGAAGGTAATTTCCTATCTTTTATTTCACTGTGTACTGTCTGTTGTATTGTTGTGAAACTATGTGACAGCAAATCTTCTTGGAACAGGCAAGCTATTCCATTACAGGGTACAAAATCCAAAGTTTAATATTTAAAATTTCATCATCATTGTTTTTTAATAGTAGCAAATCCAAAATTTTATATATTAAAGAAAAACATCATCATTTTATAACAGTAGTAAATTTTTAAGTGCTATAATTAAGGGATATGCAGCCTGGCCTGGTTGTATGTTGTTGCAGGCTAGTCAATTTTGGTTTCAACAGGATATGGGTTAAACTTAAGGCATCAATAAAAATGACATATTGAATCGATTGTTAGATAGGACATAGATGGATTGTTAGTTTGCCTGTTGTACAAGAAGATGTTACTGGGTATTGAACCAACAACCTGCGGTATTTTCCTATGGGTTGCACTGGTGTAGGATTTTCTGTATCCTACCATGTTGTTTTTACATGTCAGTATTCTTCGTATTTCATGTTATAATGCTTCACATTGCTGTCTCCTTATTCTTTTTACCGTAACAATAAGTAAGATGTTATTAAAGTTAGGTACTATTAAAGTGACATTATGCCCATCCAGATGTAGAAAATCTGTTTACAGGTAATAGTCAAAATAACTTCACATTTTCCCATAACTATTTTTAATTTCATACTCTACATGCATAATAACCAGTCTGACCCAAAGAAATTTGTATGAATATCTTTCAAAATGTTTCATTGCTATTCAATTGGTGATAAGATTGGGGCAATGTTTGTTTATAAGTCGGTTTTTAGCTCGACTATTCAGAGAATAGTCGAGCTAATGCAGTCACCCATTTGTCCGCATCGGCGTCCCTGTGGTTAAGTTTTTGCGTGTAAGCTGGTATTTCCATAAATACTGAATGGAATCAATTGAAACTTCACACACTTGTTCTCTGTGATTATCTAACATGATTGGCACAAGTCCCATAACTCTGATTTGCTTTTTTGCATAATTATGTCCCTTTTTCGTCCTAAAAATCCTTGGTTAAGTTTTGCGTGTAAGCTTGTATCTCCATAACTACTGAAGGGAATGGATTGAAACTTCCCACACTTGTTCTCTGTGATTATCTCATATGATTGGCACAAGTTCCTTCCAGAACTCTTGATTGGTTTTTTTTTTTTTCCATAATTATGCCCCTTTTTCAGCTTAGAAATTCTTGGTAAAGGTTTTGCTTGTAAGCCTTAATCTCCGTAACTACTGAAGGGTTTGTGCCTTTTTTGGGACAATTTTATGCATTCATAATAATAAAGCAGTGATTTACTCGATAAAACATCTTAATAACAAGCCTTTGTACCTTTTCGGACAATTATATGTATTCATATAGGTAAGCATTATTATACTTGTGACAACTTTTCATATAGTCGAGTGTTACTGTCCTCTGACAGTTCTTGTTGTATTTTATCCTTAACATGTGTCATTATTCAAATGTATATTGGCTAATGGTAATTAAAAGTCAATCTTTTGAAATATTGAGATAATTTAGGTCAACAACGAAAGAAATGAGCAAAATGTCACTTTAATTTTCATGGTCGACATTGTTATTTCTTCATTTTTTATTACGATGACATTAGTCAGGTATTACTAATTATCAAATGCTTTCCATAGTCCAGAAAAGTTGTGTAAGAGCAAATGTTATGTTTAGAGCATGTAAGTCAGGTCGCACTGATAATGATTATTTACAGTTTATGAAAAAATTTGTACAGAAACTAGAATAAAATAAAACTCGAAGTAAGAGAATTTAGATAAAAGATAGTCAAATGATTACAAAAAACAAAGAATATCTATATTTTTAATATGTTAATGAGTTTCTGCAATTGACTTGACCTGGTTTATATTTGGAAGTGTCTGTTGTATTTTTTTTAGGGATATCTGTTATAAAATATTATAGTTTGAGCATCTGACAATAAACAGGCTGCTGTTATGAAACCAGAACTCTGTGTGTGTGTTTGTTGGGGGGGGGGATATAGATTTTTCCATCAGTCTTACTTGTCCATCCTTAGACTTACAATGGAATGGGGGGGGGGGCATCTTTGTCATATCTATTGACACATTCTAGTTTTTGTTAAGAAATGCTTTTAGAGAAGTCACTGTTTGAGATCTAGTTGTGAAAATAACTTACTTAACTTGTTTGTTAAAATGACCACTTTGATACCAGTTATTGTTACCAGTTTACAGTCTTGCCAGGTTACACATGTTGGCAGCCTAAGAAATGTATAAAGTTCAAAAACCAAACATGAACATAACTGTGATGAACCCAAAGTGATTAGCCTTTGCCACTAGCATAATGCCAAACAGGGCTGCATATTGTGTAATCTCACTAGGCTCTGTACTTTTGGTAGCATATTTTTGTATTTCATATACAGACATAACTCTGAAAGTTCAAATAAATATTTTCAATTAAAAGCCGGGCAAATGATGGGATAAAAATCATCTCTTTTTCAAATTTCAATTCCACAGTTCATTTCATTATATCATTTATTAATAGGTGATGTTTCATGAAATGTTTGGCTTACAGTTACTTGCTTGTGAAGAATAATCTGTTTGTATGTTCATATTAATGAGACATTAGTTTGACCAAAAAGCAACTCCCTTTGCTTTGTTATGAAAGAAATGTGTCATGATATGAGCCGCGTCACGACAAAACCAACATAATGGGTTTGCGACCAGTTTCTCTACTTGTTATAGAGTCTGTAAGCAAACAGCATGGATCCTGATCAGACTGCTCGGATGTGCAGGCTGGTCTGGATCCATGCTGGTCGCAAACACATTATGTTGGTTTTGCCATGGCGTGGCTCATATATGATTTAAAGGAATTAGTGCACAATAAAGAGTTGTGCTAAGGCCATGGATATTTATTGTATAGGCTAGATATTTGCGTACAGTATTGTGTATTTAGGGCATAAATATACCTGGTGTAAAATGATGTGCTATCAAAGATTTATATTATGTTCTGATAATTCACAAAGTAATGAAAGGGAATATACCATGGTGATATTTATTTTTTGCCTTTAATTGTGATTTTGAGTATGGAGTTAAAAAAGATAAAAATATGTTAATTTTTTTTTCTCTTTTTTTCAGAAAAGTTATTTGATTTTGTCAATTTATCTGCTTTACCACCTTTTTTTCTTTATAGATCTATTAACTCTTTTTTAATACATGTATTTAGAGTCCCTCAGCCTGTCTATTAAAGAAATATAATTATTTTATTCAACTCATAACTATCATTGTAATCCAGCCAAACTTAGCATTATGATGTACATTAATATGGTGTGAAATTTTTTAGTGATTTTTAACAAGCTTACTTTTTGATATTGTAAAAAGATTATCAAGCCAGTAAATCTTTGATAGCACATTAGATTCAAATATAGGGAAAAAAAGCTTTATTTATAAATAATTTGCTATTTTGATCTTTTTATGCATGCATTTTAGCCAAAGGTAATTTCTTTTCATTTATTATCCTTGGTCGCCCTGCTTGATTTGTGCGAATATGGCATGTCTTCTGGATATTGTCAGTCAGTGAATGCTTGTCAAGGTCAAAGGTTGTTTGAATCAAGTTGGGAACCAGTCTGAAAACTTACAAGCATCTTATTGGTTGATTTTTTGCATAAAATTATCATTCACCAATCACATGATTGTTAGCTGTACTGAGACTGGTTTCCAGCTTTTTTTTCAACTACAATCTTGTGGCCAGGTCAGGAAACCGTAGTAGTAGTTCGCCTTTATCTGGGTTTTGGTCACTTAAAGTGATATGGTGTTACATTTGTCTGCATTTCTTTCCGTTGCTTTGCAAAAGCTTCCTTATATATATTAGTGCAGAATGAAAGAGGGATGGTGTTTTTAGCTCACCTGTCACAATGTGACAGGGTGAGCTTTTGTGATCGCTTTTCGTCCGTCGTCCGTCCGTCCGTCGTCCGTCCGTCGTCCGTAAACTTTTACTTTAAACGACATCTCCTCATAAACCGCTGAGCCAATTTCATCCAAACTTCACAGGAATGTTCCTTTGGTGGTCACCTTTAAAAATTGTTCAAAGAATTTAATTCCATGCAGAACTCTGGTTGCCATGGCAACCGAAAGAAAAAACTTTAAATATCTTCTTTTAAAAAACCATAAGAGCTAGAGCTTAGATATTTGGCATGAAACATCTTCTAGTGAGTGTCTACCAAGTTTGTTCAAATAAAAGCCCTGGGGTCAAAATTGGCCCCGCCCCGGGGGGTCATTGATTTTCCCTATATGCATATAGTAAAAACTTAAAAAATCGTCTTTTAAAGAACTCAAAGAGCTATGGCTAAGATATTGAGCATCAAACATGTTCTAATAGGTGTCTACCAAGTTTGTTCAAAGAAAAGCCCTGGGGTCAAAATTGGCCCCGCCCCTGGGGTCATTGATTTTCCCTATATGCATATAGTAAAAACTTAAAAAATCTTCTTTTAAAGAACAAAAAAAGAGTTAGAGCTAAGATATTTAGCATGAAACATGTTCTAATAAGTGTCTACCAAGTTTGTTCAAATAAAAGCCCTGGGTCAAAATTGACCCCCGCCCCGGGTGTCATTGATTTTTCCCTATATATGCATATAGTAAAAACTTAGAAAATCTTCTTTTAAAGAACTCAAAGAGCTATGGTTAAGATATTTAGCATCAAACATGTTCTAATAGGTGTCTACCAAGTTTGTTCAAATAAAAGCCCTGGGGTCAAAATTGGCCCCGCCCCGGGGGTCATTGATTTTCCTTATATGTGTATAGCAAAAACTTAAAAAATCTTTTTTGAAAAAACCCAAATAGCTAGAGTTATTAATATTAAGCATGAAACATCTTTTAGTGAGTGTCTACAAAGTTTGTTCAAATAAAAGACCTGGGGTCAAAATTGGCCCCGCCCCGGGGTCATTGATTTTCCTTATATGTGTATAGCAAAAACTTAAAATCTTCTTTGAAAAAAAACCAAATAGCTAGAGTTTAGATATTAAGCATGAAACATATTCTAGTAAGTGTCTACAAAGTTTGTTCAAATAAAAACCCTGGGTAATAACTGGCCCGGCCCCAGGGGTGTCATTGTTTTTAACTATATGTGTATAGTAAAAACTTTAAAAAAATCTTCTTTTAAATAGCCCAATGAGCTAGAGCTTAGATGTTTAGCATGAAACATCTTCTTATGGGTGTCTACCAAGTTTGTGCAAATAAAAGCCCTTTGGTTAAAATTGGCCCTGCAACTTTTGGGGGGGGTGGGGGTTGGGGGGCCTATATACAGGTGAGCGACCTCAGGGCCATCATGGCCCTCTTGTTTTTTTTTTTTTTTTGTTTTTTTTTTTGGGGGGGGGGAGGGGTGTTCTTTAAGAAGTACTGGGGAAGAGTACATGTTCAGTCACTTCGGGTATTGGGCTTTTAAGTACATAATATTTAGTTGCATTAGTTGAATGCACCACGTGTTTTTGAAAAGATGGAATAAAATACTATGAAAATTGTGATATTAATTTAGAAAAGGTTAGCAAGATATAATGTTGCCCTGCTTGGTAACTTCAGCACTTTTCTGGATGACCTTTGTGAGCCACTTTGTTTTAAAAGTTGCTGAATAGTTAGTTTTTTTACAAAATATCCCAAAATGATTAGAACAACTTTCAAGTGTCACTGCTGTGTTTTTTGTTTATCCAAATTAAATGTTTTTGCTTCTATTAAATGCTAAGGGGCAGCTGCATGGGTGACCCTGTCTATGTCAGGCAGTTAAGAGGCAAAGTCCGGTTATATGCACACTTTTGTCAACCTAAAGTGCGTAAACAGGTTATCTTCTATTTAAATTAAAGGAGGACTTACTCCTGTTACTGCACTAAGGTGATGATTTTTGCTCTCTTGTCATACACTATACTGTTGGTTTGCTTAATTTGAGCTCCTTTCTTTAATTGAAAAATTTCCTCCCATTGATAATATAGGCAGTTTTAAATACAGATATATAATAGGCAGTACATAAAATATATATTAAGAAAGGGTTAATGTACCTTTGTAAGAAGCAGAGCTAAACAAAAGAAATGCGATTAAAGTTATCATACATTTTAAGTGACCAGAATGAATCTTAGTTAATATATTATTTAAGAAAAAAACACCAAAAGGAATGGTTTTGGTTTATTAACATACCTAGGCAGGTAATAGCACAATTTATATTTTATTTTGGTGCTGTATTGGTTATGAAGAAGTTTTAAGTAATTTAATGATTTATATACAAGTATGTTATTTACCAACACATCAGTATGTTGTTGTTGTCGTTTTTTCTCCTCACATCGCCTTTTTTATCATCATTAAAATTACACATCATGTGTGACATTTAATTTAAAACACAAGTGTTATCACAAAATATTGATTGGTATGTTTATTGAAATATTTCATTATTTAAATGTTATATACCCAGTAATTACTATTAAAAGTTTGTTATGCTATTGTTTTTACATTTAGACAGATACATGTAGTTTGATATGCTTATTTTATAAATTGCAGATATCTGCTATATGCTTATAAATTACTTATTTTTTTTATTTTTTTATTTTAATAAAAAGCACACAAATTGTATAGTAGTAGAATTTTATACAAATTTAGAACAAATATAATGGTCACCTATAGCTACCCTTATTTGAAATGTGTAAAGTTATTTTTTCCTGAGTATAAAGTTATTTTTTCCTGTGTACAAATTTCCTTTATTTCTTTGTAAAGAGCCTTATCTTTCCTGTTTAGAGTATTAAACCTGCCTTTAAAATAAACTGACCACCTTCAGCATTTTATGTTTGAAAAATCCGTTCCGTACCTCTTAGCGCTTTATTTTGGTTCCTATCATTGGTAATGTACATTGTATAAATAAAACTTGTACCAGGGTTTTCATTATTAACAGATTGATGATGCATATCTGTTAAAACTTGTTGTATTTTAAGCCCGTAGATTTAAATATCACCCTTGACCCTTGGCAAATCATGATGTTTTTGTGAGCACATCTGTTGCCTCAGATAAAAATGAAAACACTGCTGTACATATAAAGGTTTAATGCAAGTACTCAGAGAACTTGGTGCTTATTTTTTTATGCTCCTTGAAAAAATTTCCAAAGCATATAGTATCTGCTTCCTTCTTACATACTTTTTATCCTAGAAACTTCAGGTAACAATGTAGGGGTCACTTGGATCAAGGTCTCCAGTTTTTGGGAACATGCATCGCCTAAAGTTATATATAATTTTCTTGGCTCTTTATTACTGAAGGCAGTCAATTGACACAATTTTTTTTTTTTATCCAGGTCATACTTTAGCTTTTTAAAATTTTTTAGAAGGGTAATGCGATAAAGTTTCAGAAAGTATAGCAAATATAACAAAACTTTTGTATGGGTTAAGATGTGTCTGTTATTGCAAGATGAATAAGATTTTGCAAGAGGAGTCTGTTATTGCTAAGTGTAACAATAGTCACTGAAAATGAGAATACCACAAGTGATAAAAGTAAAAGTAATTTCAACACTAATACAATATTTGAAATGATATTATTGTTAGCTACATAATATATTTAATGTATTTGTCACTGTAATGTATTATATGTTGTGAAATGTTTTTTCTGGCACATTTTTTCTAGGACCATGTGCTTTTCAAAAGCCATGTAAGAAATTTACTAAAAGCCCAAACATGAGAATTTATTGTACCTAATAAGAAAATTTTATAATGTACATTAATTTTATATTCATACAGTACATTATATATTTATTGTAAGTGATATAAAAAATATGTATAATGAAATAATTATATCTGATTGCATGAAAAATTTTTTTCATCTAATTATATAATGAGTGGTTTAAGGCTGTTCAAATTTTAACCTTGTAAGGTCAATTAGTTAACAATACTGGGTTTATTACAGTTTGATTATATAGGACACTAGATGCTTATCTTTTCACATAATGTACATTCTTTGAACTAACCCAGTACTGAGCAGTGAAAAGGAGTTTTTTTTTTGCTGAGGAAACAAGGGCTTTGAACCCGCATGGCCAACCATCCTTAGGCCTAATTGTCTGGCGTTTCAAACCATTTGACTATGTCCCAAATTCGGTTTTTTGTTTTCATCAGTTTCTTGATGAAATTTAAATAGGAACATTTTAGTGTCTTGTAATTTGCCAAGGGAGCTGGAACATTACCATTTTACATTTTATTTTGTTTATGGTCATTGATTTTGTCTCCCACCATTGATTCTTAGTAGTTGGTCATTTGCAGAGAAATTGATAATCCAGGAAAGCTTGTTAGATTGTCCTACCACCATCATGATATGACCAAAAATATGTTAAAATTGGAGCAAACACTTAACAATTTTTAAACTCTAACCAACCTAAAAATAATAATAGCAAGCAACAATAGTTAGATATTAAATTTTGTTTTTGTCTTGAATTCCTGTCAGAGAAATAGCCCTTCCATACATATTTCTTTGAACAAATTGTGACGTTTTGTTACAACAGTACTGATTAATTAATACAAATTTAATTGTCATGAAATGATTATTTATTAAACATTGGAATATTAATATCTATGAATCATAAAGGAATGTATATTAAATATTGAAATTCTGAAATACATGTATATATGAGTGGTTTATTACCTGCTAGCTAAATCCAAAATAGTTTGCTAACATAATTATTGACTTTTCTTAACATTTCTAGATTTTGATTTCATCACTTTTTATAATGTATGAGAATTTAATTATCATTTTTATTTATTTTTTAGTCTTGAATCAATAATTAACATTATTTTTTATTAAGAACTGTACATGTTTAAGTGTTTTATGTCTATAGTACATTGTTACTTCTGTTGAAGAACATCTTTGTACTCATTTACTATCATGTAAAATAAAATCTAAGACTGATTTAGGATGCAGCTTTGTAGGTTTTTGTTGTAGACTATAATTGAATGTCCTTACATAGAAAGGAGAACCAAAATAAAACTCTAAAAAAAAACAATACACTTAAAAAAGACATGTCACATTGAAGGTTTTGTGATCACCACCATATAATGACATCTACAAATGTTTTATGAATTCAAAATTTCACCATGTCCTGTTTAATGTTATATTCTGCTGAAGTGGGTGCTTGGGGGCGTGGACGTTAGCCTGCATTGACCCTTTGTGAACACTAGCTCAATCAAACTGAGCCTGCAACATTTTCCATTCTGGTGTAGGAATTGCCTTTTTCTCTATTTCACAAAGTTGTACACTTAATGGAGAAAGTGTTTAGTGTAGATGTATAAATGATATTATGACTGATTTTGAGGGTTAATTTGATCAAGTCCCTGATCATGTATATAGCTGAATGTTTAGTTACTGACTTTGAATGTTTATAAGACTCGAGATAACTATCTTGAATGTATTAACATATTTTTTGTATGGCTGAAGAGAAAAGTGCATGTTTTCTTCTGCATCTCTAAATATAATTGTATGGTCAAGGCTTTTAAAATCACTTGGATTAGGTGTTGGTAAAGTGGAGTATTTTTTTTGTTTTGTGTGCTTTTTTGCAGAGTTCAAATTTGATCTAAAATAAAAAAATATGATCACTGGTTTACAACTTGACAACTAGATTTTGATTTAGAAAATTTTATATCTTAAAATGTTTTAATGGATACATCCAACAGAAAACTAAACTGATAAGACAGGGAGAGGGGTCAATTATAAGGCCTTTTTAAGCCACATACGTAATGTGGGTGAACTTAGGGGTCACTGGGGAATTTTTGCCAAAAAAAATTTTTAAACTAAATTATAAAGCTTCATTCATTTACTTATTCTTCAAATTTTTGGTAGGTACATCTTTTGGGGTCCCTTTAAAACTGGGGGACTAAGGGGGCCTTGGTCAAGTACCAGTGCTTAAAAAAAGCTTTTTAAAAAACAAAAAAAAAACGGCATTTGAAGAAAATTTCAAATTAACTGCAGGAAGACCCATCACCTTTTCAAATTTTCCTTGTTTTTTTTAAACCCTTTTGTTGCATGATTTCATTATTAAATTTGCATGCAAATTGTTCACATTCTTCACGAATTGGAATTGAAAACAATATTTGTTTCAACTTGGTGCATCTTGGACTATATTTATCCAACACTTGTGTTATATAATGTATGTGAATTAACATCAGGAATGTGTTGTGTGTATGTATACTCTCTCTTTTATGTACTTACACTTTATAAAACACCATCTCACATTTATCGTTGCTCCTTCAACAATTCATTCACAATCTCCAATAAAAAAATGTCATTGAATACATCAGAAAAATTAAAACATTTAAAGTCAAATTTAGTGTAGTCTTATTTATTTTCTAGATGGATTCATTTTGCCAAGTTTAGTTGACATGCAGTGATTTCGTTGTGAATATACAATTATTTTACAGTCCATTACAGCTGTTTTACCATTGTACCAAAAGTGGCAACTTTACGAGTTAATTTTGTTTGTTTTTATATGTGTGTTAATGGTTATGTAAAGATATATTTTTAATTTTTTTTGTTTACAGGTAAAGAGGTTAGCCATGATTGAATTTATCTGAATACATTTTTAATACCGTGCATGGACGCCAAAAGCCCCCCCCCCCCTAAAAAAATTTCTTCTAAACTTTCCCAAAGTTTTTTTGAAAATTACAAGACTTCGGTCGTCTCCAGGATTATCACATAATGGACAAATGAACCCAAAAATTGAATGGTTAGAAAGGTAAGGGTTTAAATTTTTAAATATATTTTATCATTGATAATTCCTCTTTAGTTTTTACCATAATATTGGAAGTATAGTTTACCCTTACACATGTGTGAATGTGCTACTTGAAACAATTAAAAATGTTTTCTGCTTAAGGAGGCAATTACTTTGTTTTGAATAAAATATGTAAAGGGATGGATAACTTGGAAGGTCCTGAGTTTAACAGGCGCCCTTTTTTGTGCTGCCCATTTATTTTTCCAAAACTTTTTAATAGATTACTGGCCCCTTATTTAATTACAATTTAAAAAAACATTTGCAATGTTTAAAAATCTTTTCCCCTGGGGTTTTCTTTAAAAATTTTTTATTCAGAAAAATCTTGGGGATGAGTATTTTTTTTTATTTTTAAAATAAGTTAATAAAAGTTTTTTTAAAATATTCTGTTATATATCTATTTCAGTCTGCCCAGTCAGTGTTGTTTGCCCTGTTTAACTTAAATCCACCAGAATTTTCCATGATGTTGTCTGGCTTACCAAAAGCATTCCAGGTATGATATTTTTCTGTTCATATATTATAGTTACATTCAGTACACTTGCCAATTTAAAAAAGGAAAACATTCAATTTGTTATCCATGATTAATTGGTTTGATTCTTGGGTGAAGCTAAATTTCTCCATGACAATCTTGGACATTTTGTTGAATGGTAATTAAATTTTGTCAGACTAACTCACCACTGATTCAGAAATCCTGTTGGATTACTAGTTGATCAATGGTCAACATGACACCACATGTATTAAAGGTGTTCCATTTTCTTCAGCAAGCAATTTTAATGTCCTCAAAATATTTTTTCATAATATCTTCATTAAATCATGTGACCCTTGCTCAATATAATTTAGGGACCACAGTAAATAGTTTAAAGTAGTTGATCTGGAAAAAAACATCATGTTTCACATAATCTCCCTATTAAACAGAAAGAGCAATATAGCATATTACTGCATGATAAATGCATGGCAAAAAAGGAATGTTTTAATATATTATATTCTATATGATGTCGTCAATAAATCAAATGTCAGGAAAATTCTTCGAAGGTCACTGTAGTTCAACATGTTTATGAATTCTTTTTTTTTTTATAAACATGTTAGAATGCAAATATATATTAATTTTTCTGACATATAATAATGCATAGTTCATAGTTCAAATACTTTGTTATTTATCACTCAGACCTACTGACCTATTTGATTTTACACAAAAAATGTATCTGCACACTTGAATTTGTTTGAATCAATCATTTTTCTTCAAAAAACACATTAAAAAATGATACCTATTTTCTTAAGAAAAATGTTAATTACTAAATGAGAAAAGATTAGTTTATTGGAAACTAAAGAGCACTGTTTGTAATGTATGGAGAGCTATATTACTTTTTCCTGGACTATAAAAGCAAGTTTACCATGACTTAAATGATAAATTACATGCTGGGAAAGCATCAAAGTTTCCATTTTGTACAATCATTGTCCTCATTTTGTTTACAGGATGGTGCAACTAAGATTCTCCAGCATCATTTGAAAGGTGCCCATGAACCAGAAGTGCTCACACCTAGAAATACTGCCAGTCCACAGACACATCAGAACAGGAGTAGGCCTTCTTCTAGGTAAAAACATTTTTATTACCTTGACCTCAATATGTTATATACAAAGATTCATCCTCAAAATGTACGGTCAAAATGGTTCAGGAATTGTAAATCAAATTTTATTCTTTTGGGGTAAAAATAAATCAAACTTTATTTTAAAATGATTCAGAAATCCAACAAGAAGCATAAATCCACCTTTATTATTTTTATGCCCCCATTTTGAAAAAAAGGGGGTATATTGCTTTGCACTTGTCGGTCCGTCGGTCCGTCGGTCCGTAGACCAAATGGTTTCCGAGTGATAACTAAAGAACCCTTAGGCCTAGGAACTTCAAACTTGGTATGGTGATTGGTCATGACCAGTAGATGACCCCTATTGATTTTGGGGTCAAGGGGTCAAAGGTCAAGGTCACAATGACCTTGAAAGCAAAAACGGTTTCCGATCAATAACTAAAGAACCTTAAGGCTAGGAACTTCAAACTTGGTATGGTGATTGGTCATGACCAGTAGATGACCCCTATTGATTTTGGGGTCAAGGGGTCAAAGGTCAAGGTCACATTGACCTTGAAAGCAAAAACGGTTTCCGATCAATAACTAAAGAACCTTAAGGCCTAGGAACTTCAAACTTGGTAATGGTGAATTGGTCATGACCAGTAGATGACCCCTATTGGATTTTTTTGGGGTCAAGGGGTCAAAGGTCAAGGTCACATTGACCTTGAAAGTAAAAACGGTTTCCGATCAATAACTTAAAGAACCTTAAGGCCTAGGAACTTCAAACTTGGTATGGTGATTGGTCATGACCAGTAGATGACCCTATTGATTTTGGGGTCAAGGGTCAAAGGTCAAGGTCACATTGACCTTGAAAGCAAAAACGGTTTCCGATCAATAACTAAAGAACCTTAAGGCCTAGGAACTTCAAACTTGGTATGGGTGATTGGTCATGACCAGTTGATGACCCCTATTGATTTTTTGGGGTCAAGGGGTCAAAGGTCAAGGTCACATTGACCTTGAAAGCAAAAACGGTTTCCGATCAATAACTAAAGAACCTTAAGGCCTAGGAACTTCAAACTTGGTATGGTGATTGGTCTTGACCAGTAGATGACCCCTATTGATTTTGGGGTCAAGGGGTCAAAGGTCAAGGTCACATTGACCTTGTAAGCCAAAACGGTTTCCGATCAATAACTAAAGAACCTTAAGGCCTAGGAACTTCAAACTTGGTATGGTGATTGGTCATGATCAGTAGATGACCCCTATAGATTTTGGGGTCAAGGGGTCAAAGGTCAAGGTCACATTGACATTGTAGGTAAAAACGGTTTCCAATCAATACCTAAAGAACCTTAAGGCTTAGGAACATCAAACTTGGTATGGTGATTGGTCATGATCAGTAGATGACCCCTATTAATTTTTGGGGTCAAGGGTCAAAGGTCAAGGTCACATTGACCTTGTAGGTAAAAACGGTTTCCGATCAATAACTAAAGAACCTTAAGGCCTAGGAACTTCAAACTTGGTATTGTGATTTGGTCATGATCAGTAGATGACCCGTATATATTTTGGGTCAAGGGGTCAAAGGTCAAGGTCACATTGACCTTTTAATTAAAAAACGGTTTCTGATCAATAACAAAAGAACCCTTAGGCCTAGGAACTTCAAACTTGGTATGGTGATTGGTCATGATCAGTAGATGACCCTATTGATTTTGGGGTCAAGGGGTCAAAGGTCAAGGTCACATTGACCCTTGTAGGTAAAAACGGTTTCCAATCAATTACTAAAGAACCTTTAAGGCCTAGGAACTTCAAAACTTGGTATGGTGATTGGTCATGATCAGTAGATGACCCGTATAGATTTTGGGGTCAAGGGGTCAAAGGTCAGAACACATTGACCTTTTAATTAAAAACGGTTTCTGATCAATAACAAAAGAACCCTTAGGCCTAGGAACTTCAAACTTGGTATGGTGATTGGTTATGACCAATCAGATGACCCCTATTGATTTTGGCGTTAAGGGGTCAAAGGTCAAGGTCACATTGACCTTGTAGGTAAAAACGGTTTCCGATCAATAATGAAAGAACCCTTAGGCTAGGGACTTCAAACTTGAGATGGTGATTGGTCATGATCAGTAGATGACCCCTATTGATTTTGGGGTCTAGGGGTCAAAGGTCAAGGTCACATGACCTCTTAGGTAAAAAACGGTTTCCGATCAATAACTAAAGAACGCTTAGGCCTAGGAACTTCAAACTTGGTATGGTGATTTGTCATGACCAGCAGATGACCCCTATTGATTTTGGGGTTAAGGGGTTAAAGGGCAAGGTCACATTGACCTTGTACGTAAAAATGCTTTCCGATCAATAACTTAAGAACCCTTATGCCTAGGAACTTCAAACTTGGTATGGTGATTGGTCATGACCAGCAGATGACCTATTGATTTTGGGGTCAAGGGGTCAAAGGTCAAGGTCACATTGACCTTGTAGGTAAAAACGGTTTCCGATCAATTAACTAAAAACGCTTAGGCCTAGGAACTTCAAACTTTGTGTGATGATTGGGCATGACCAGCAGATGACCCCTATTGAGTTTTAGGTGAAGGGGTCAAAGTTCAAGGTGACATTGACCTTTTAAGTAAAAACGGTTTCTGATCAATAATTCAAGAACGCTTAGGCCTAGGAACTTCAAACTTGGTATGGTGATTTGTCATGACCAGCAGATGACCCCTATTGTTTTTGGGGTCAAAGGTCAAGGTCACATTGACCTTGTATGTTAAAACGGTTTCCGATAAATAATATGAGAACCCTTAGGCCTAAGAACTTCAAACTTGGCATGGTGATTGGTCATGACCAGCAGATGACCCTATTGATTTTGGGGTCAAGGGGTCAAAGGTCAAGGTCACATTGACCTTGTAGGTAAAAACGGTTTCTGATCAATTTACTAAAAACGCCTAGGCCTAGGAACTTCAAACTTTGTTTGATGATTGGTCGTGACCAGCAGATGACCCCTATTGAGTTTTGGGTCAAGGGGTCAAAGGTCAAGGTCATGACCAGTAGATACTTTATAACCCTTATTAATTGTTTGATCACTGGGTCAGAAGTCATGCATAATAACCTAATCACATGACTAATTGGCTGCTGATAGGGGGCATACATGTTTTACAAACATATCTTGTTTGGTCAGCTTTTACTTGATGGACCTTACTTTTTAGTACAACTCTTCTGTTTGGTATTACCAGCCAGCCTGTACCACTAGTATATAGTATTAGTTATAAAGATTTTAATCATTATCAATTATCCTTTTCTCTTGTTTTATAGGGGACCGTATAGCAGAGATGAAGCTGACACTGAAAATATGAACCCTGAGGATATATATAACTCAATAAAGAAAACATCAGCTGACATTCAAAATCTCAGTTTTAATAGTAAACTTGATCAATTTGACGATGTGAAAAAGCGTAAAGACTTTACGTCACAAGATAGTGGTATTCAGGATTTACGGAATGATAGCCCGGATGCAGGAGACTCTAGAAAAACACAATATAACCCATCACATTATTCTGATGAGGTAAGATATAGTAAAAAATCAGAAAAAATAAATCAAAGTACAGTCAAAATGTCCTTTACTAGAGGGGCTTTAAATTTTTTATAATGGCCTATGTGAACAGGTGGTTTAACCAAAAGGGTCATTTCAAGCACTGTTACAATAAAAACAGGAGGAAGGTAAAATTTTGAACTAGATCATTGCTAAGTACATATCAAACCAAGATACTGAAATAAAGGAATAATGATTGTAAATTTCCAATTAAACGTAATATGGCATCACTTATCCTACTAAAATAGCTATACATAGATCAACTGGGATACTAAAAACAAAAAGAATATACTCGGACAAAATGAAAATTGTATTTTAGTCCTAACCTTAGCCCGATTTAAGTGAAAAGTGTTGCAACGCTTTTCAATTTTGGGTTGTATAATAATTCTGGTATACAGCGTGACCAAATGATCTGAAATTTTGCACACAAGTTATAAAATGGAACATTAATCTTGAAAAAAAAGTTTCAGTCCTGTTGAAAAATTATTTCCAGTCCCGTCATGTCAAAAAACCTGAGTGGAGTCCCTTTAATTTAAACATTCTAAAAAAAATGCGGAATTCAGTCGGGACAAATCATCTTTACAAAATAAGGAGGTTGAAGCTTTAGTTAAAAATTTAATTGTATAATATTAATTAAGTATTGTGACAGAGTTGGTGTATATTGTTTTAATTGTTTTTTTAGAGTACTATAAATGGATATAACCGGAGTAATCAAGCAGAGGCCGTGTTCTATGCTGAAAATGACACATCATTCAATGAAGGTTTGTACTTTATTATATACCGTTATCATGTATGTGTGTGCTTGACATTGGGACTATGATGTTTGTTTGTCCTTGCTTTTAAAAGTATAAGTATTTGTTTATTTGTTCTTCAGTGTTGCAGATAATTTGATATTTTTCTTCATTGATTTTAGCATCTATTAAAAATGTATCACATTTTATATGTATATGGACGTCATTCAATATTAGATCATTTAAAAGGCTTGAATGTCAGTCTGTTATTGATCTTTGATAAGGTTTCATTGTGTACTTCCTTGCATTTAGATAGCTAATAAGATATTCTGAAATGAAGAACAAGGACCGTTCAGCTGTTACTAGATTAGCCTTTCTTCTTCAACTAGTACTCTTCGCATGCCTACAGATAAACCAAAATATTTTATGAAAATCAAAAAAAGATTTAATAGAAGTTAAAGATTCAAATTAAAGTAATAATTTATATGTTATGTGTTATTAATGTCTGATTTTGTGGCATTTGTAACCTTATTTCTACTGTGTAAAGCGGTACAGTACTGCAAGTGCTATTTTTGCATATTTTGACATCATTTTGTTAATTTATTTGGATTATAAGTTCCATTTGCAACATGTAAATAACTTTCTCTGTTCACTACACAATATTTAACTTGTTTAATATTTAAAAAAAATTGTAAAAATTAGCATGAATCTGGAGGTATTCTGCTTTAAACTAGCAGTATTATAATTTGGCCATGCAGTCAGACTATACTCTTTACTATTGAAATTCATAAAATGAGCCAAAGATAGTTTCACATGCAAGTAAAGGCTGATAAGATTAAGTTTGATGGCCTATCAATTTCAATAATTAGATCATGATAATTGACAGTTCTAAAATGTTGAGGAAGAGTAAAATGTAATAGTGACTTCTGGGTATCTGTTTCTTCATTCATTGTAGTTTCTTTCGGGCAGATTATAATACATGTGTATTTGAAATACTGGAATATGTACTTAATGTGGGACAACTATACTATAATTGATTGATTACCCATCACCTTACCATCCATGCCATGCTCATATTTATATCCATTTCTACTGCCATATAAGTACTTCTTTCTGCTGGCCTAATATTCCACCATTTATGTTGAAACAAGGAATCTTTTTTTTTGTTGCATACTTTATTTCTGTGGTATGTAAACTTACATTGATGGGATTGGCATTTGCAGTTCTACGTGCATTGTTTCATTACGTCATATTTTTTGGTAATTTATACTTACATATATTTGAAATGTTCATTGACATCTTGTTGTAAACTGATGACCAAATATGGTGAATCATCATGGAAGCATTAATTGATCATTAATGCAATAATAAGATTGAAATTCAGTAGAATTAAGTACTTATACTGTAGCTTTCAAGGTCAAGGTTGTACTAGAATGTCAAAATGTATTTAAAAAATAAAAATGAAATGAAAAGTAAATTTGATCTGAAATGTTACTATGACTGTAGTTTTAGTCATTATTGTGTAATTTCTAGCTGTATATTGTGTACAGATATATTTATAAAGTGTTATTATTTCAGGAAAAAAGAAAAAGCCAAAAGGTTAATTGGAATGATTAGGGTTATTTATATATTTCCAGCTTTTATGTTGTGGCTGAAGACCCAGACTTGTTTACTAACAATTCTTTATTTAGTTTCAGCTGAAATCTTGATTATTTTGTTTGCTTACTACTATATACATGTATGGTTGTCTGTTTTTCAAAGTGCTATTGTTATTGGAAATAAGTAAAATCAGTAGATAAAAGGGAAACCTGGATATAGTGACAATTTGACAAGATTGCTCTTTGTAAAACTTGTTTATTTGTTTTAGCAGAAAAATTAACTTCTTGGCCAAATTGACTCACAGTTTGGGGAATATAGATATTTACCAAATGTTAGAATAGCAATAGTTACATATTACAAGATAAAGACCTGATTTAGAATAATGATAAGCAAATAGCAAAATAGCAAAAAAAAAAAAGTTTCAAATTTTGTTTTGATGTACACTGCCATCACATTATAAGGCTAACCTCACTGTAATGCTCCAGGGTTGCATTTTTCATCAATCAGATTTAAATATACATGTGTATGTATAAGTGGCATAAAGAAAGATATGTGATTCTACCTAGTAACCTGTTCATATCTGAATTAATAAAGGGAGAGGCACCAGTGTCTTTTTCTGGTAACATAAAATCCAAAGTACTAAGGGAAGGGAAAAACAATATGATACAAAAAGATTTAAAGAAATTTTATCACCAAATGCAAGATTTATCTTATCATTTATTTCTTGAAACAAGAAACAAGCTTTTTCAAAGGGCAGCAGAAAGTTATACACAAAACATGATGGAAAAAAACAAAACTCAATTCTTCATTTTGTTAATACTATTTTGACAATGTTTGATAAATGAAATATGAAAAAAATAATTAGTTTTAATCAACTGAATTTATAAAATTTGTATTTTTCTCATTGATTTGCCATCTAGATCCATTCAGAACTATTCTTGGCTTGAAGTTAGACAAGGGTTGGTATATGAATTATCTACCTTAAGATATACAGTATTGATTGAAGCCTTTTGTATGGTCACACTTTGTTGTTGTCGTTGATTTTTTGCCATCACATTTTAACTGCTGATTTTGATTCTATGATTTAAGCTTAGACAAGTCTTTATAGTCACCATATTTAAAGACTTGATAAAGTTCATACTTCATGCCCCTCACCACTATAGGTTGGAATCCTGAAATCCGAAAGAGACTGTAATAATATTTATCCTGCCAGAGACTTTGGATCCTTGGAGTGAGGAAGCTATCTAGCTAGCTTACAGAAAGTCGTTGGTTCTACTCAGGAGTCTGTTTGTGCCTGAAATAATGCATGGAGGGGCACCTGAACAATCCTTCACCAGTTAAGCTGGAAAGTCACCAAAAGTATGACCCTTAACTTCGAAAAGCATAACCAAAAAAGAAAAGATGATGCGGTCAAGTTTTCTAGAATATATCTAGCCCAGATTCCATACTTTTTACATTGTAACAGATTGTCATTGAATTTTGGTAACTTTGTATTAGTATTATAATTACATGGCCTATTTTCATACTGGAACTACATTTTGAATTAGTATCAGCCTACTATGATTGTTTTAATTAATAACCATCAGTTTCACTTTTAATTTTGCTTTTAATAGTGCCATCAAAGTAATTTAAGGGACGGGGGAGAAATTAGCATAAAAATATAAATAATGACTAGATGTAGGGAAACTTTGTGTGTGACAATGTTTGCTTTATTTATAAAGGCTTCATGATGTACTGTAACTGAATCAGACAACACTTCCTGTTATTTTTGTTGAATAATTCCAGCATGATCTTGTTGTTCTAAACATGTTCTTACTGCATTCACATGTTTTAATAATTGTGTTTGAAAAATAGTATTTTTTACCCATACAATTCATTACCTACTGAATTTCCATTGATTCTTTGTAGCTGAAATCAAAATTCTCCTTTTTCATAATTTTCAAGCTTATTTTATTTTATATTTCAAACACTGATTAATATTTGAATTTATTGGTTAAGAGTGGTACATCTGTTGTAAGTTTGAGGAATTTTGTCTGATTATTTTGTTTTCTGATAAAAATGTATATCAATAATGGTGAAGTGAACAATGACTTGTATTTTACTGCATTTGGTCATGAAGATTGGGAAAATGACAAAATTTCTGGAAATTTATGTAAACATACAATGGATGTATTACTTCTTATGTACACACCATTTGCTTATAATATTTCTTGAAAATTTGTAATTATACCCCCAAAAACGAAGTTTGGGGGGGGTATATAGGAGTCACCCGGTGGTCGGTCGGTCGGTCGGTCCAGACGTCCGTTGCATTTTCCTTGTCCGGAGCATAACTTGAAAACTAATGGTTGGAATTCAATATAACTACATACAATGGTCAAGCACATTGAGAGGAAGTGCAGTGCATAAGAACCATAACTCTATCTTGACTAATTACAGAGTTATTGCCCTTTGTTACTTTTCCTTGTCCGGGGCGTAACTTGAAAACTACTGGTTGGAATTCAAAACAACTTCATACAATTGTCAAACACAATAAGGGGAAGTGCAGTGCACAAGAACCATAACTCTATCTAAAGTAATTACAGAGTTATTGCCCTTTGTTGCTTTTCCATTTGCTTTTTTTTTTTGTCCGTTGCATTTTCCTTGTCCAGAGCATAACTTGAAGACTAATGGTTGGAATTCAATATAACTACATACAATGGTCAAGCACATTGAGAGGAAGTGCAGTGGGTAAGAAACATAACTCTATCTTGACTAATTACAGAGTTATTGCCCTTTGTTACTTTTCCTTGTCCATGGCATAACTTGAAAACTACTGTTTGGAATTCAAAACAACTTCATACAATTGTCAAACACAATAAGGGGAAGTGCAGTGCACAAGAACCATAACTCTATCTAAAGTAATTACAGAGTTATTGCCCTTTGTTACTTTTCCATTGCTTTCTTTTGTCCGGACCATAACTTGAAGACTAATTGTTGCAATTCATTATAACTTCATACAATGGTCCAGCACATTGAGAGGAAGTGCAGTGCACAAGAACCATAACTCCATTTTGACTTATTACAGAGTTACTGCCCTTTGTTTCTTTTCCTTGTCCAGAGCATGACTTTAAAACTACTGGTTGGAATTCATTATAACTACATACAATGGCCAAGCACAATAAGGGGAAGTGCAGTGCATAAGAACCATAACTCTATCTAAAGTATTACAGAGTTATTGCCCTTTATTACTTTTCCATTGCTTTCTTTTGTCCGGACCATAACTTGAAGACTTATTGTTGGAATTCATTATAACTTCATACAATGGTCAAGCACATTGAGAGGAAGTGCAGTGCATAAGAACCATAACTCCATCTTGACTAATTACAGAGTTACTGCCCTTTGTTACTTTTCCTTGTCCAGAGCATGACTTGAAAACTACTGGTTGGCATTCAAAACAACTTCATACAATGGTCAAGCACAATAAGGGGAAGTGCAGTGCACAAGAACCATAACTCCATCTTGACTAATTACAGAGTTATTGCCCTTTGTTACTTTTCCTGGTCCAGAGCATAACTTGAAAACTACTGTTTGGAATTCAGTACAACTTCATACAGTTGTCAAGGACATTAAAAGGAAGTGCAGTGCACAAGAGCCATAACTCCATTTTGACAAAATACAGAGTTACTGCCCTTTGATACTTTTCCTTGTCCGGAGCATAACTTAAAACGTACTGGTTGGAATTCAAAACAACTTCATACAATGGTCAAGCACAATAAGAGGAAGTGCAGTGCACAAGAACTATAACTCTATCTTCAGTATTTATAGAGTTATTGCCCTTTGTTCTTTTTCTTTGTCTTTCTGGACTTATTACAGAGTAATTCAATTAAACTTCATCAATGGCCAACCACATTGAAAGGAAATGCAACATACATGAACCACAAATATCTTTAATTGCCCACAACCATAACTCTATGTTTCAATTCTATTACAAGGTATTCTGTTACTAGTAACATCCCCATTTCCGAAGCAGACTTGTGGGGGTATTAATCACATTTAGTGATAGTTCTAGTTTTTTCTTGAAACATTTTAAAAAGATAGATTTAACAAAGCAATTTCAGCAAATGTTAAACGTCACAAATGGCAGTGTTTATAAGTTAAAATTGTCATAGTTTTTAGAATATTTAATTTTCGCAATGTTCACAAATTTTAAATTAATTCAATTAACTAAATAGTGTTTAAGCATGCTTACAACACTGCCAAAAAACACAAATGACTTTTTTTTAGACAATACAGTCATATTAAAAAAATACAGTCATATTTTACTCTAGCCGTGTTTACAGATTGACAATTTCATAAATTTAAACAGTTTCCAAAACAAATATATAAGAGAACAAAAAAAGGAGAAAAGCTTTTCATGCACCAAAATGAAAAAAAAAATGTAGTTATATCACCGTCTATCCATATATTTTGTCTTTCCATCCTTCCATCTGTCCGTGTTTTTGTCTGTCTGTATGTACATATATTTTTGGACAGTATTTTTACATCTATCTGTAAGAGAAATGAGAATGGGGGAAGGGAGACAAATCATGTTTATACAATAATTGCCATTGATTTTTGATATACAAGTTAGCAATTTTATACCTTACATAATTGTTTTTTCTTTAATAAATGTACGTTCCAGTGGTCATATAACTGATATAATTTTCAGGAAGGTAGTAGATTTTGCAAAGTTAGCATTTAGGAGAAACTTGACTGTTATATTTCCATACTTGTAAATTTGTTGAAGCAATTATCAGTTCCTTTTTGCACAGAAAACGCTTCCATACATGGGGTAGATTATTTCAAAGCTAGCATTTTAGGTGAACCAAGGCTGTAAAACCAATTAGATTTCCTCTGACAATTATATTTCCATACTTTTTACATAAATGATGTTTCAGAAATATCATTATTTTCTTCACAGAAATGCTTTCATACATTGTGTTGTTTTTTTTTGTTTTGTTTTTTTTGTTTTTTCTTAAATAATGAGAGAGAAAAGGCCCTATCTGATGGTGCTTTACACCTAGAAATATAAAAGAACCATCCTGGAATGAATGTTTCCATTACACAAGAGCTAAAGTTAGAGACAGTCCTGGGGATTGAATGGCCCATATATGATAACTACAAATTTATGTCACACAAAACTAAACACATGATGATAATTGTGACAGCAAGGGTTATAAGTATGACTCCTAAGTTAATATTGAATGTGATTTCCGTCATTAACACAGCATGCCCGTGGCAAAATGTCTGGTCAAATGCATGATGTTCTGGTTTTTATTAACCCAAAATAACCTTAAATTACAATTGTTTTTTTTACATAGACAAACATTGAAGTACAAGAGAAATTACATTTGTCTTTATATAAGCTATACAGGCTGTTTTTGTTCAAGTTTTGATTGTTTTTGAAAATAAACATTTTTGTTTAAAGTCAGTTACTAAAGCACAGTTGGAAATTTCTGTATTATTGTTGACAAATTGTTTATGCAGTTATTTTTTTAAATATTATATGATGTGTGCCAGTTTGAAGTAAAGTATTTATTTAAAGTCAGTAAAATGTTAGATATTTAAAAGGTCAAAATCAAGTAAAATGTTAGATATTTAAAAGGTCAAAATCAAGCTACAATGTACATATTCCCTTAAATTAGCACCTTGTATCCAATATTTAAGATCGTGATGTCAAACTGGTACTCTTTTACATTTATGGCATTTATCATTGTATCATATTTGAAGAAAGTTTTATAACAAATTCACAATTAAATTTCACATTTTAGAACAATCATTTTAAGTATTTTAAGTAAATTTGAAAAACATACAAGAATTCACCAGACTAATACAATTTTTTTTATGATTTAAAGATTATTTTATCTACCATTCTTTTATCTTTTTTTAAATAAAAAATGAGTGTCAATTTATTCAAAGTAATAATGATAGAATCAACAAATGTTTATTTAAATTTTGATTTATATAAATACAATGTGATATTATTCAATAGCATTTAGTTTATCAGAACAAGTATATATAGTGACTGATAATAATTATATCTAACATATTTAACCTAGTATTTTATTGAGTTTAAACAAGAAATGAATGGAATTTTATTGGTTCTGTATTTTCAGGATCATTAGACCAGGAGGAGATGATCAGTGAAATCCTCAAAGAGCTCTCCAATCATAATGAAAGGTACATTGACCCAATTTTAACTCTAACTCTCCTGACAGACAAGCCAGAAATTGATAGTCAGCCTTTAACTTAATAATACCCTCTGTTTATCACCGTCCTTCAATACCCTATTGTGCATTAATCTCTTAATATTGACTAATGTTCATCATTGTAAGTTGGATTTTATTTTAGACCTAACATTAGCAGAACTGTTTAAACTAAGTAGCTTTACTCATCAAGATTAAGTAGCTTTACTCATCAAGGTATTGAATTGGTAACAGTTATTGTTGTCTGTCTCCCTCTAACTTTTGATGTTTATGTCAAAAAAACTCTTGGTTTTTGCATTGTAGACATTGGTGAAAAGCTTTAAGGCTTAATCTTAAACACATCCCAAAGCACTCTTGTGTACGATAAACAGAAATGCTGAATTTAAGATGTTTAGAATTGTATATTGTAGAACCATAACATATGATAATTCTGTATTTTCTTGTTACAGACATGAGGAGCGTAAGAACACAATGTTGTCTCTGATCAAGATGACGAGGGATGGTATGTTTGAACTGTGGGACGATCATTTCAAGAGTATCCTGCTGATATTGTTAGAGACACTGGGTGACGATGATGTAAGTTCTAAAACATTTATAATATAAACATTGGTTATTATAGAATATTATAAGCCTTGTGATAAAAGTTGCTGACTTCAAGTCTTTTACTTTCTTGTCCTTGATTTGTATGTTTATACATAGTTATAGTCATAGTTTTGCACTGTTTGCTAGTTTGCCGGTACTTTTTGAAAAATTCTTTCTAAAAATGATAAATGTTTTAATGTTGTTGTTTTTTTTTTTTCAGAATTAAAATTGGAAAAGTTCATTTTAGGTTGGAAAACATTCAAATATATCACCGTTTAGAAATGTGAACTTGATCATATTCCAGACTGTAAAAGTTGCTAAGTGATTGACATATTTAAGGAACCATATTCAATCTTATTTTATACATTTGTCACATTGTCTCAAATCTTAACCTTACACATACAACTTTCAGGTGCAAGTTCGGTCATTGGCTCTGAGAGTTTTGCGGGAAATTTTACGAAATCAGTCACGTAGGTTTGAAGAGTACGCGGAACTTACCATGTTAAGAATTCTAGAGGCACATAAAGATCCAGCCAAAGAGGTAAATTTGGAAAATAGAAAAAAAAGTCATCTTCCCTTGATCACTTTACCTGGAACCCTGTATTATTTCTTGTTTTATTGAACTATGAAACAGACAATTTTAACATAGACATTGCATTATTCAAAGCTTACATTAGTCAAAGATGAGTAAGTTCAACCTATACAACCTATACATGGCTGCATATGTTGACATATTTAGAAAATGTTGTTAATACAAATACATGGATAACACAGGGTTTGAGTTTGTGTAATGAAATTGCTCTGCTTTGACTTTTAACAGTGCATTCAAAGTTAAAGCAATTTTGATATCAAAATAATAAACAGCTACCAACAGTTAAGAGACCAGTCAGAGTGCACAGATTTGCAGGTTTGCTTGGCTTTAAAAATGTCTTGTGACGTTAAGAGAGATTTAAAGCAACACTAAAAGATGTTGATTCAAAATTATTGTAAGATAAAGTGGATTGATTTATAGGTCAATTAACACAAGAACAACAAATATTATCAGTTATTAGCACATGAAGTGAGCTTTTTTAGGGAAATGTTACATTTTGTAAAGATAAGTTATTAAATATTTTTTATTACTTCAAAAACCAGGTTGTTAGGGCAGCAGAAGAATGTGCGGCTACCCTTGCTAGCTACACACCACCTATACAGAGTATACGTATACTGATACCTATAGTTAAAGCAGCAGAGTTACCTATGAACCTAGCAGCCATTAAGATGCAGACTAAGGTAGTAGAACAGATGTCAGCAGAAGAGCTTCTATCAGTCTTACCAGAAGCAATGCCAGGACTTCTTAAGGTAAGCTTCAGTTAAATTTTATATAAATAAAGAATAAACTGTCTTTAATTGACATTATGTTCAATTTTCGCTGTCAAGTTGTATTGGAAGCATATTTTAAAACCATTGGTATAAAAAAATGACTAGTATATGACAAATACATTGGTTCTGAAAAAAACAAATTTTGTTAATTGATAAATCATAAAAATACTAATATAGAATGCCTTTAAAATTCTTTTTTGTGAGTTACCATATTATATTTCTGAAGCACTATTTACAGAAATTCGAGTGGTATCAGAGTGGAATATTATAAATTCCTTTTAAGCTATAACAGTTTAATAGCTGTTAGAAATAAGCTTTTAATGACATCATCATCATTTCTCATCTCTACTGTCCCATCTTAACCACTGTATAAAGGCCCTTTTTGACTTATCGTATTGAAACAAAATTCCCTAAATCATTTTCCTTATTGATTATCGTTAATGTATTAAAAGCAAATCTTTGCCCTTATTTACACTCTATATTATCTAGGTAATTGAGAAAGAATCTTTCTCTGTTTTAGCAGGGCTATGATGACAGTGAGAGTAGTGTAAGAAAAGCCAGCGTGTTCTGTCTTGTTGCCGTATACATGGTAGTAGGTGAATCTCTGAGACAGTTTCTCACAGACCTTAATGGTAGTAAGGTAGGTAACTCATTCATTATTGTGTTGAAACAAGTTTATGTAATAAATTTAGTGTTTAGATATTTTATTTTGTTTATTACCTAGAGAGAATTGTGAATGTATTTGTTTCATTTAAACAATGACTACATACTTTCAAATATCTTGTGAAAGACAATATCTATATAGAATTTTTATAAGTTAGGTAAAAATGTTACAAATAGAAAAAGATATAACATTGAGGTGTAAGATTTGCATCAGATATGATAGTTTATATGAAATTTCTAATAAAAGCTGTTTTTGTCATATTTTAGATCAAGTTGTTGAATTTATACATAAAGAGAGCCCAGGCTCAGAAAGAGAGTGGGAAAGTGCTGTCACCTCACAGCTCTGACACATCATGATAAACAGCCAATGAAATGCTAGCTTTTTCTATGATTAACAGTCATTTAAAACACTGTTAGCCAATCATATACAAGAATGTATGGAATGGGCATCTAAACAGCAAAGGCTTTTCATCCAATCAGATTTATGTTAACAACATGAAAATTGAATGTTTTAGGTGAATATATAATATAATTGATAATAATCATAAGAGTAGTAAAAAAGAAACATATAAACTTCATGTGATATGAAATGATGAAAATAAAGTAATTATAGACTAAAATTTGTGAAAATTTAGTGTTTTAAACAATTCATAGAATATGTATGCCTGTAACATACTGAGTAAGCTTATGCTCACAAATTTCCAAAGTTACGGAAATTAAAAAAAAAACACAGACACTTTACATGTGAAATCAGCTTATCTCATCAGATGAGATGTGGACTATTATAGTGTTGAGTTAGAGTGAAATATAAACATGAAAACTATAATTATTATCTAGAAAAAATAAGAAGACATCATTCCATTGTAAATTCTGCTCATTTGTCACTGAACTATTTATCCACCCATCATTAGGCAGGAGTCATAAAATTTCCTGTGTAATAAACTTTGTGAAAAGTGCTTTGCCCTTCAATAGAAAGTGTTCTTTTTTATCCAATGGTAAGCTTTATGAGATGTTTCAGCATTGCACAGAAGAAGTTTGTTTTTAAAATTGTTGTTATATATATATATCACTTAAAAACATACACAAAGCCATTCTGTAGGCATTTTTAAAGCACACTTAAAAGTTGTGCACAAGATACTTTTTATTGGTGTTGAAAAACAGTGACTGAACACTTTCCTTGTTAATGAAGTTTTCTAGAATATTACAAAGCCTGAAATAAAGTGCAGATGTACTATTAAATGTATGTCATAGTGTACATGTGTGGAACATGTTAATCAGAATGAAGTTACAGAGTACTGTTGATACATTCTACTCGGACATCATTTAAACAGAAAAGGTCATTAAATGAGTTCTTTTTGTACACAGTAACTAAATTTAACAAACCTTAATTTGATCCAATAAGGGTAGAAAGAAGGATATTGTTCGTATTTTCTACACGGACATCATTTAAACAGAAAAGGTCATTAAATGAGTTCTTTTTGTACACAGTAACTATACTTAAAGTAACCTTAATTTGATGCAATAAGGGAAAAAACAGTAAGCAACTAACAAAATACTGTTAATTTTTATTTTTACCAAAAACAAAACAAAAACATTTTTTGGATTATCATGACAGTTTGACCTTGTATATTTTCTTTTATCAAAGCATACAGGTCACACTGGTTTTCAGCATCTTTTTCTTTGTTTGAAGGTGGTGTTTTGTTCTACTTACATAAGAATAATCATGGTTAACATAACTACATTATATAATCTTTAGTTAGTTATAAAGTTGATATTTTATTTGTAAAATTTTGAAAACATTTTATTCTGTGAAGAAACTTCCATCTTAAACTTTGGACAGTATTGATGTACAAGATTTGTATAATGCTACTGAATTTGAAATGTCTGTAAAAACGTTTTCCCTATGATTAAGTGGATTAGGTTACTTTCTTCTTGAACATGCCACTTACCTACTCTCAGGATTTTGATTTTTATCTGAGGCAACAGATACACTAAATTAAACAACCCATTTGGCCAAGCATCAATGGTGATATTTTAATATACAGAGTAACAGACTGAAAAATACAACTGAATTTAACCAATGATATGGACTGCCAATCTGTTAATAATGAAAACCCTGTACTCTTGGAGTGAATTCATGTTGAATCATTTAATAAGGAGGTGTTATCCAAGTATGGAAGGCTGTTGGTTCTCTCTGCTGCTTTCTACAGGGAATATGCAGTGATAAATAAAAACTTCCAATTTCACTGCAAACACAACCACAAAACAAACATCTTCATGATTTTGGGGGGGAAATGTTTTGTTAAGATTGACAAATATTAAATTTTTTGCTTTTATATCTTATAGATCACATAAGCTTATTAGCTTTCATTCATCAGTGTCCTACAAAGTTGAAGGGCCCAAATTAAACACATTTTCTTCTTTGCTGTCATTCTGTTACATTGATTGACATACATGTATTTTCTTTATATTGATGGTGACTTGTGTAAAACTGTTAATCCTCTATATTTTGTGTATTTTTACCAAGGTGATATTAGACTAGGATTCTATTTATTTTGTAGCCTCTGACAACCCAATTTATTTTTGTTTTAGTTTTGCACAGGTTAATAAATCTGTTAATTATCTGTTTTAATTTTTGAACTTGTATCTTAGAGTTTATATATATTGTTCAAATATTTGTTTTGTTTCAAAAGACATATGGAAGGATTTACTGATAAAACTTTCCACATGAATGACTGACAATATTTCTGCTGTCAACTCTTTACACACTGACTTCTTTAATGGATTTGTCATATTTTTAAAGAGGTTTTCAAAGTCAAAATACTAACTTTGACATGGTGGACATTGTAATGTTTATTATCACTGATAAATAGTAACAGCACTATTTTATATTTGAGGTGAAATCATATAACCTTTAATTTTGTTGAACCAGAAGGGATTTACCTTTGCCTACAATCTAGAGCCAGGCCAGTCTGCATAATGTGTATGTTTTGACATTGAAAACCCTTATTTTTGTAATGGACTATTCCAAATTCAAAGTAGTGCATATCCAATTCATAAATTCAGCAAGTTCATTTATATAGGAAAGCTTATTAAGTTCTATTAACATCAAAGTAAAATTTGTGTTTATATTGAGGTTCAAAAATGGAGGATGTCACATCATTATAATTTCATTTTGCTGTTTTAGATACAAACAAATGACTTTCTGTATTGCATATGTCTTCACATTTGTTGGATAGAAATATGTAGAAGTGGGTCCTACAAAATTGAATTCAACAAAACGGTTTAAATGTTAAAATCCATGTAAGATGTTCTGATTTATTACTTATATCAACTCAACTGCATTTATTAATAGTCATCTTCCTTTTATATAGTCTAACATTGATCAAAATCATTATCCTGTTATATATATATGTTCAATCTTTTCTTGTTTTTTCGTTACGTTTCGTTCGTAAGAATGTCTTTGAAAAAATGAAGCTTGATTCAATTTGAAATTAACATTGTATGATTACGTTTTCCTGTCTGTAAAATTAAGCATATATCTTATAGGGAACAGAGCAATTGATATTCTTGTAACTTTATCTAGTCGATTATCTAATATATATCCACATACACTTTCAAAAATATGTTTTGTTTGTTTTATAATCGAGAAAATTGTCAGAATATGTAAGCAAAACATAATCTTTTTATTTTACTTCATTCGTTATCTTTCAACTACTAGTAATATTAAATTGTGTCCGAAGTATTTTATGTTACTATATTTAGAATTGTTTCCGTAAACAAGATTCTTGGATTGTGACGGAAGCAGAAGTTAGTCCTAACCAGCATAGGATGCATCTTGTAAGGTTGTGTTGAGTTTATAGTTTCAAGATCTAATTTTATTTGTGCGTGTGTGTACATGACGTTTATACACCCTGTGATAATTTTAGGCATACAGCATGTCATGTGATCAGATTAAAATGCAGTATACCTAAATGACCCCTTAATACAACTGTATGCAAACTGCTTTTAGAAAAATGGAAGAAACATAGGTGGCTCTCTTTTTGTAATTTGTTCGTATTAATTTGAATTATGATAATTTTACTTTTCTGTGTTACATGTTTTGTGGATTTATTTTACTATTGTGAATTCAAGACTGTAGTTATTTAAGTTCAGTTTCTATTCCTTAGAATCAATATTTTGATTATACTTAATGCATGCACATTGTGTTAAAGTTGCCATGAATAAAGGATCAAATACAGTTTCTATAGCAACTGTATCAGAGGAATTTATTTGTGTAATATGGTTGATCAAGTTTCCCTACTATACTTTAACACTACCTTAGTATGAGGAAGAATTTGTGTGCCAAATGAGATGAGATGACTTGATGAGATTTTGTCACAAAATGAAGTAATATTGAGCCGTGTCATGACAAAACCAACATAATGCGTTGCGACCAGCATGGATCCAGACCAGCCTGCGCATCCTCGCAGTCTGGTCAGGATCCATGCTGTTCGCTTACAAACCCTATTACAAGTAGAGAAACTGATAGCGAACAGCATGGATCCTGATCAGACTGCACGGAGGCGCAGGCTGGTGTGGATCCATGCTGGTCGCAAACCCACTTTGTTGGTTTTGTCGTGACGCGGCTCAATTATGAAGTATGTTTTAATGGTGATGAATGTAGTTAATGTGTTAAGTATATTTTAACAGTGGAACGTTTTGATTAAGACACTTTTTATTTGGGAGATGTGAAGTAAAAATGAGTATTGTACTAAATGTTGTTTTTCGATACTGAGATTTTAAGCTTTACCAAAGGTTAAGGTTTATGTGCACTTTTTGATACTTTCAGCATTTTGGTGATATAAGTTGGAAACATTTGAGAAAAAATGGACATATTCAGGGTCTAGCCATTCATCATAATAATTTAGTTTCAGAGTTTTTTTTGATGAATCCTCTAAGATCAGATATGATCGTTTTGTTTGTTATGGGTTATTTTTAGTGGGGAGGGTAGGGGGAGATAAAAAAAATATGCAACAATGCTTTTAACAGTTTCTTAGTGCTAAACAGTGCACAAAAAGTTTAACCATTCTATTCAGTGAAATGTAAATACTATTTATATAGCTCTGTATTATCTATCATTTGAGAAGTTTTAGAATGGTTTACATACGATATTTCTTACAAATTGAGAAAATGAATTTTAAATATGAATGTATGTTACAATGAGTATTGTGTGAGTTTCAGTGGTAAACCTTTGTTTGCCTTTTTGTGTTTAAAGTTATTTTGTGTTAAAACATTTTTTGTATTAACTATGATGTAGTACATAATTTAAGCATGTGTAAACATATAAAAACAGTTAAAAACTTTTAATTGTATTTTTTCTCTTTTATGGCCTTTACAACTTGCCACACATTAATCCCATTTATTGATTTGTTAAGCACCACTATCCAAGAAAAGGGAGAGGTATTGTACTCATCCAGGTGTTCGTTTCAGCGTCACACTTTGGTTAAGTTGCTATCTCCAAAACTACTGAAGGGAAAAGGTTGAAACTTAGCACGCTTATTTCAGAGCATAGTATAAGGATCTAA